GGGGGTGGGGGGGGAGGCAGGGAAGGGCGGGGATTTATCTCTCCTGTGTGAAGTTTGAAACTTAACCATGTGGCTTTTTAAAATGGAAATGATAGAAGGAAGCTAAGCATGTGATGGATAATGTCAAAAGCAGAGAGAAACAAGGCACAGAGTATGTGCAATGGCCCTGAGGCAGGAAGGAGGCTGGGGTATGTGAGACCCAGCTAGGAGCCAGCATGGGGAGGGAGCAGAGGTTAGATCATGGAGGATCTTGTAATCATTGTAAGGACTTTGAATTTAATCCTGAGTGAGGTAAACATGAGTCAGTCTCCAAGGTGTCTGTGGCAGTTTTGCTCCTCAGGAAGATTTAGCAGCCGATCAGCTGATGTGAGCAAAGGCCGCAGGAAAATGCTTCTCAAAAGTCGAGTTCAGTCTTTTCAGTCCTGGACATACCTGGTGTTCCTTCAGTTTCCGCTGCAGAGTGGCATTCAGAGACTGCTCATCCTCATATTTAGAGTTGACAGAATTAATTTCCATATCCCTCCTGCAAGAGAAGGTTTGATCTCCAGAGGAAAAGTGCTGAGGGTAGACCAGTGAGCTGGCCATGGAACAGAGCCTGGACTCCCGGAGCAGGCCTTGAACCTGTTGAAAACTGCTCATCTCCCTAACCATTGGCCTTCGAGTGTGACAGCCCAGAAAGTCTCACTCTACAGAGCCCCAGAATCAGCTCCATAGGCTTTTCATTCACTTATTCTTTCACTCATTAGTTAACTCATGCATTTATTAATTTTATACATGTTTATTTAGTACCTATTATGTGCAGACATTGTTTAGGGTTCCAGGGACATATCAGGGAACAAACCAGACAGAAATCACCGCTGTGATACCGTTTATATTCTAGGGGCTCTAGAATCATATTGGCGCTTTGCCTAAAATTTTTAGGGAGAATTTTCCTCCAGAAACTTTCCACAAAAGGCTGTCTCCTTCTGATGTATGAGTTCCATGCGTCAAGGAGCCACATGTGAGAACTAAGATGCCAGAGACCAAGTAGATGAAGAGGATGGACAAGATTGCATGCACCTTCTGTGTGTGCCACAGAAGAAATATACTGAGATGCCAGTTTTGCTGTGTATGCCCCTCATAGCAGTCTGTGGTGCTTTAAACTGCCTTAGCAAAATATACTTCACGATGCATTGTTCAAATTCTACTCCCTAATAGCTTTTTCCTTATCTGACTCCTTATCTCCATCCCCTCAGCCTCTTACCTAGTTCAGGTTTACCCCTGGGCTATTGCAGCAGCCTCCCTATGGTCTTCCTGTTCTATGTTTTCTCCACTCCACCTTTCCTCCACATTATTGCCAGAGTGATATTGATAAAATACCCTTTCAACTCCTTGTGATCTTTGAGAGACCTGTTTATAGGTTTCTATGAACTTTCTGCCCTCTGGGGTGGAAACTTTGCTTAGTACCAGTCTTTTCATCACTCAACAGGCCTTGTGTGAGGCTGGGAGCTCTCTGTGGACAGGGAAGTACCTACTTCTTCCTCCTTTTATCCTCTTTACTGGGCACAGTACATGGCACATAGTGGGTGCTGGCGACAGCATTAATACATGTGAAGCCCTCAGCACAGTGCCTGGCTCCTGGTACCATCCAGGAAGTACTAAATATTGCTAATATTGTTACGAAAAAAATGAATAAATGAATAACTGCATGGGCATACTTTTTCACCACTTCCTCAAGATCTATCTTGGACCGCTCCATCTCATTAAGATTGTCAATGGTCATCTTCAAGTCACTCTCAGCTTTCCGACGAGCCTTTTCCACCTCTGCCCGGATTTTCTTTTCCTGTTCCCAGTTATCCTCCAGCTGTGGAGAAAAGAAAAGCAAGAGAAAGTAGAGGAGGGGGTAGTCTCAGGCCAGAATGAACTAAGGAACAAGACTGGGCCTGGTTCCTTAGCTTTTGCATCAGAAAGTCTCTCACTTCCCCAGGGGATGTGTCAGTCCAGTTCTCAAAATGAATATGAGGACCCTGTGCCTCAGGATGGACCTGGTCCTCGAGCTGTAGAATTGGCTCAGCCATGGGTCATTACCTCATGGATCTGGGTGCTGAGTTTGCTGTTGCTCTTGGTTAGGTGGTTCACCTTGTCCTCCTCAGCTTGTAGGTCATCGAGGGTTTTCTGGAAGGGAAGATACACATGTGTGCCCCTTGAGCCACGCAGGAACAGCTGAACAGACCTGGTTCTCTGCCATCACTTCTAAGCTGAGATGAGCTGACTTTAGTGAACAGCTACTGAGCTCCTGCTTCTGGGTTCTGGGTCAGACCATGGCAGACCTGAGCACCCGTCAGCCATAGGTGGGCCCTTGGGTCAGTAGCGGGTCTCTGGTTCTCCATGGGGCATATGGAAATCTGTGGGGGGCTTCTGGTTGTCACAATGATTGGGGGCTCATCTAGCACTTAGTGATTGGTTCCAGGGATGCTGGGCATCTTGCTTTGCTCTGCACAATCTGGCACCATAAAGAATAATTCTACCATCTACATGCCTGATATCCCACCCAGGCATTCATGTAAGTAAAACCATCATTATCATTTTCTGAAGCTAGGACCCATTACCACTTTATGTAGAACTCAAAAATATTTTCATTTAGTATCCATTACATGTTTAAAAAATGATCTACCATGAAAACTGAGAGAAGATTCATTTGTTGTTGTCAAAATCTCTCCAAGGTTTATTCACCATTTTGTAAAACTGCATTACTGGCGACAGCCATACTTTGCTATCTGAGTCACCAACACACCCTCCTGTGCCCATCTGCAGCTGTTATAGACAGGCTTCGTCAGGCAGCAAGCAGCTCACTTCTTCTAATTGATCTGCCTGAGATTTTACACATTGACAGCCCCATTGTTTATTATAAATTACTTTCCATTAATTTCTCTTTTATGTCGAAGGGTGCCCTTGATTTTTTTTAAGTTATGTATTAGTTATATCATTATAATTCTTATTTCAGGATATAAGAGAAGCTTCCAAAATATAGTCAGTCCTCATCATTTGTAGATTATCTTTTTGCCTATTTACCTACTTGCTAAAATTTATTTGTAATCTCCAAATCAATACTTATGGTGCTTTCATGGTCATTTGTGGATATGCGCAGAGTGGTGAAAAATTTGAGTTGCTTGGAGTTTTCAGCTGAGGTTGGATGAGACGATGCTCTGCCTTCTTGTTTCAGCTCATACTGCAAACAAGTGTCCTTTTCACAATGTGTTCACATTTATACATTTTTGTACTTTTAGTTGGTGATTTCAATGTTTAAAATGGCACCCAAGCACAGTGTTGTCTAGTGCAAGATAGTTTTGATGTGCCTTACAGAGAATTTTGTGTATTAGATAAGCTCCGTTGAGGCATGAGATATAGTGCTGTTGACCTTGAGTTCAATGTTAAGGAATCAACAATATGTACTAAACAAGGTGTCTTTAAACAGAAACACACATAAAACAACATAATGTATTCATTGTAATCATATGTATTATGTATTAATTGTTTGAATTAATCAACAATATGTACTAAACAAGGTGTCTTTAAACAGAAACACACATAAAACAACATAATGTATTCATTGTAATCATATGTATTATGTATTAATTGTTTGACAAAAATTTTGTGACCAGAGGCTTGCAGGAACCTAACCCTAAATTTCCCCTAGGAGCAGAAGTTTAGTACTTGCTAATTCAGTATGTGCAGTGACTTTATAGAACATAACTACCTTGAATAATGAGAATTGGCCATATTCATTATAAAAGGAGGCTCTGGGTTTGATATGGTTGAAAGCCACAGTCTAAGAGGAGGTATTTCCAGAGGCAGCTCAGGGGACATGTTGTGGATTCATGGTGCCAGCAAACACAGGGGTGAGGGCCTATTCTCTGTTTCTGGGCTTCAGCTTGCTCTTTGCACCTGTGTCTTTAGAGCTAGGATGTAACCTGTGCCACAATTAGCACTGATGGCTGGTCAGAGCTGGCTCTGCATTTAGGAGCCTGAGCCTGTAACAATTGGGTCAGTCTCCGCATGATCTCAAGAGCTCATGCCTGTTGTTGCAGTGATATATCAGGTGCTTTGGAGTTCACAGGACACTTCCATATACACCAGTTCATCTTTATGACTCTGGGGACCATCCTCACTCCTGCCTGCTACTCTCATTTCACTGTCAAAACTGTTCTAGTTTGGGTAATAAGTTATATTATGGTCACCCCACTTATAATAAACCTGGAAGGAAGGCATTAAGACGTGACCCTACCCACTTCACTGATGAGGGAATAGAGATTTAAGGAGAGTCTGTGACTTCCCTAAGGACCCCTACCCAAAGGGTGGCAAAGCTGGGATATGAACCAGGGTCTCCAGTTTCTGAGCTCTGACTCCTCCACCAAAGGGAGAAGTGGGTGGCGCCTACCTGGTGCAGCTCCTCCAGGGCCCTCTTCTCCTTCTGGAGCTTGGCAATAGAGTCTTCACGGAGTGAGAGGTCCCCGGTCAGGGTACGGACCTTGTGATCCAGGGCCTAGAAACCCGGGCAGGGAAGAGACAGGTCTTTAAGGCTGGGAAAACCCTCCAGTGGGGAGAGAAAAGGGGGAAGCAATTGCTCTGAGAGAGGGCCTTTGGCTTGACTATACACTAGAGTCACCTGGGATCTTGAGAAATGCCAGCACCCAGGGCACACCCCAACCAACTAAGTCAGAATCTTGGGGGTGAGGGGAGCAGCAAGAACCATCAGTTCAGGCCCTCACTACTCAAAGCCTGGTCCTCGGGCTTCAGCTGTGTCATTGACCAAGAATGTGTTAGAAACTTTGATCTTGGGGCCCTGCTAGACCTGCTGATCCAGAATCTACATGTTATCAGGATCCTGATGTTTAGTGTGCACATCAGAGTTTGAGAGGCATGGGTTTAGGCAGTGTCCACTTTCCCCTGCTCTTAGATCCCACTCGCTTGAAGGGTAGGAAGGGGGCCCCGGGGCCAAGCCAGCCAGATAGTATCAGGAGACAGGGGGTCTCCTTTGCGGGGCCAGCAACTGCTTGTTTGGGTAGAAATCCAGCAGCTACAGGTGGCCTCATCATACTGATAGAGTTGCCTCTTCTGAGAAGGGAGGAAAGTTATACATGGTGCTGCAGAACATTCTGTGAGGGGCCAGGGATGCTGAGGCTGAGTAGGCAGCAGGCTAGTGCAGATGCCTAGAATCCCAGGCTTGAGGAGAACCAGTTAGGCCTGAGCCTGGATGTAGCATGATGGAAAGAGCTGTTTCCTTAGTCAGCTGCTCTGTCTAGCAGAACTTTCTGCAACAAAGGACATAGTCTCAGTCTGCTTTGTCTAACATGACAGCACTGGCCATGTGTGGCTATTGAGCACTTGAAATGTGGCTAGGTCAACTTGGGAACCACATTTTAAATTGTATTGAATTAAATTAAAACAGCCCCATGTGGCTGGTGGGCTCTAGGAAGCACTGCTGTGGGAGATCCAGGTGTGGAGGGTGAGCGAGCTGGGGGTTCCTCGGCCCTTAGAGGAGCATGGTTGGGCCCAGGGCTTCCTCACCTGCTTCTCCTTCTCTGTCTTGGCCAGCGTGCTCTCAAGGCCCTCCAGGTCACGCTTCAGGTCACTCAGCTCCCCCTCTAGTTTGCGCTTGGAAGCACTCAGGGAAGCAGCTGTGCCTTCCTCTTCCTCCAACCGCTCCCGCATATCTGAGATCTGGCTCTCCAACTCCATTTTGGTCTTCATCATCTGGGTCAGGCGCTCCTCGGCATCCATCAGGTTCTCTTGCTCCTGGTGGAAGAAAGAGCCCTAGTCATAGGCAGGAGTCCAGGCACCTGCAAGGGACCAAGATGACAGACAACCCTTGGGCTGATAGGCCCCAAACAAATGGTTGGACAGGGGACTGGGCTAGTAAGGCAACAACTGGCCACAGAGTCAGAAGACTGAATCAGCTGAGTTACTTTTGGTTCATGGCATAACTTTACTGAAATTCATTTCTTTGCAAAATAAGGGAAACAATCACTGTGAGATATAAAGAGATGGTGCTTTTATAAATGGAAGTTCTACCTCAGGCTGGGCCTCACATCCCCACTAGGTGCTTCTATAAATGGAAGATTCTTTTATTACTGTGGTCTCACTCGGCCTCAGTCTCCTCAAACATAAAACAAGGGTCTCAGCTTGAGCAACTTCTCAGGGGTATCTAAAGGATGTGGAGAAATGATGCTAGAGACAACTTGGGGGAATTGGGCAGACAGCACAAGTGCTGATGTTCTCACTGCCCCACGGACATGGCTGTGGCAGAGCAGGAAGGACCCAAGATGGAACTGGACCCCTCCCAGTTGTGGGTTTTCTACTGATGGTCTTGAGACCTTGATCAAGTCTCTAAATGTCAGTCGAAATAAGTTTTCTACATTGCCGGTTATGCGTAAAAATTGGGCACCTTAAAGGGTGGTTGTGAGGGTCAGATCCAAGAAGGACCAGTGACTGCAGTCATAATCTTGGAATGCAGGGATGGAGGCATTGAGTCAGGCACCCATGATACCTAGGTCATTTGGTCTCCTTGCTCTGTTTGCACTTGACAGGCAAAAAAAGGAGACAAAGAAAAGAGGGCAAGTTCCTAAAGTCTCATGGCAGAGCCATGCTGCGGGGGTGTTCCACCCACTACATCTCATGGCCCCAGGTCTGGACAATCCCTATAGGCCAGCACATATATGTGTGCCCAGCCTGCTGCTGTGGGCAAATAAAATTTTGATGGAGACCTTTTGGTAACTGGAGCAAGGAAGACATTACAAAGAAGAAAAGAGAAGGTTGGGAATTCCCTGTGGTCTGAAGGGACCATGGATTTCTAGTTGCCAAGACTCCTAGCTCCCATCCCCTCCCCTCCCCGTCAGGGCCCCACATACAGCCTGCAGCTGGATGGTGAGGTCTTTCTTCTCCTGACTGAGTGTGACCATCTTTTCCTCCATTTCCTTGACCTTGGTTAGCAGCTCCTGTGTCTTGGACATGGCATTCCTCAGCTCTTCCTCTTTGGCCTTCATCTCTTCCTCTTGCCGTGCCACATTCAGGAGCGGCTTGACCTGGGTGGCCAGTAGCACCATACGGTGTTAGGGGGTGGGCTTTACCAGGGGACAAGGAGGTGGGTTGTGGGGGCTCTGCCTCAGACTGGGCCTCACATCTCCACTGGGGTGGAAAGCAGCTCTTGCTGCAGCTGTGAGGAGCCCTTCTCCACAGAGGCCATAAAGTATCTCTGGCCCCTACAAAGGAGGCTCATCCTTGCTTAGGATCAGTCCTCAGGATGCTCTTTGATTCCGGGAGAAACGAAGTTAGATAATCTTCAGCATCTAGCTGTACCCAGTACTTACATCTGTTCTGTAAGTTGTGTGTGTTTGGAACCCTGGCTACATTCACAGCTCTGCTTTCTCCTGCCTTTTTCTCTTCTGAGTTCTCTCTCTCTCTCTCTCTCTCTCTCTCTCTCTCTCTCTCTCTCTCTCTTATCTCTGTCTGCATCTCTCTATTTCTCTGTCTTTTTCTGTCTTTCTCTCTTGTGTCTGTTCTCCGAAGTGGCCAAGTTTGCATTAAAAGGTTATGCACCATAACTTGCAACTATATAACACTTTTTGTCCAGTGAAAGCCTACTAAAAATTT